GCTTCGTCAATCTTCCAAAATAGTCATCGAAAGAAGCACCATTTTGTTTGCAGGTAGCCAGTGAGTTGCGGAGCTTCTGAAGACGAGCTTCACTCTTCAGAGAAAACCTCTTTTTGATGATATCCCATAATTCTTTTGCCACCTCTCTAGTCGAGATTGATGACCGTAACTTAGGCTCGATGGTTTGTTTAATCCAACCCACCAACAGGTGATTATTGGCTACCCAATCTTCTAGGGTCTCCGAATCTGCTGCAGGCTTAGGTATACTTCCACCAATGAAGCCAAATTTCTTGCGCGAGCTGAGAGACATACACAAGTTAATTGTCCACTCGCCATAGTTCGTACCATTAAGCAACGGGGATGAAATCACAGCACCCGGATTGTCACCAGATGTCAGATCGAAGGGCGAGATGGTACGTCGTTTATATTTCACGGCTGTGGTTGAAACTTCCATTGTACACAAACCAATATAAATTCAACAGGATGCTCTGTTTTGCAAGATTACTGTTTTGACAAGCAGCTCTGTTTTCTGTAACAAAAACAGAGGCGGCTCTGAACAAGAATGATACAATTCAAGCAATCGAAAGTAATGGATCAAAGCTCTGATACCATGACAAACTATGAACTGCTGAATATCAACTTGTCTTATTCCAAACATCATTACAGGTACTTATACAATCTCTATGTTAGTCCCTTAACCTAATCATAAATAAGGTAATATGTAGGAATATGAAACTATCGTATATACACCAAGATATGAGAGTATATCATATCGTAATATTCATGTTTAACATGTGAGATGAAGATCAGAAATATTCCAATAATTATTTGGAAGTTTTTCAAAATTATCTTGACACAATTTTAAATATTTAGATTTATCGAGATTAGTTAAGACATAACTGTTAAGATTTAGAGAAATTTTTTGTGATAACCTTTTTTAGTTTATTTTCACAAATAATATTCAAAATAGAAAATACCACAACGGTTTTATTGAAGGCAAATATACTCGTATATACTTAGGGTTAACTAACATTTGATTTTTTTTTAGAGTTAATGAATGGATTTTGGGGTGGGGTTTCAAATACTCAAATATTCAAAAATAGAAAATAATTATTTTTTTTTGAAAAAAGTGAAAATAGTTCCAAAAAAATTGAAAATTTTTCGGAAAATAATAAATTTATAAAAAGTACAAATCTGAAACATATAATCCGAAAATATAAAAAACATATTTTTATATTTATTTTTTATTCTTTATTTTTTATATTATATTTATATATTTATAAAGCAAGGGAGACCAAAGTTTTTTGGCTCTTTAATGAAACATCTTTTAATCATTTTCTTATTTGAAAGTTTCTTTGTAACAAAAACTTAAAAATAGATTTTTTGATATTATTTTGCTCCAAAAAGCATATTATGCTGTGGGCTAAAGACCCACTCGTGAAGGCCCAATCTCAAATCAAACGCGCACGCGTGTAGTTTGCATAATGATCCATTTATCTCCTTCTTCATTGTGTATCTCCAAACTATTGAACATTGATAAGAGAGTATCATATTTATACTATTTCTTTTATCATAAAAATATGAATTTTTTTACTTTTGCCTTTAATTTAAGTGAACATTTTTATGAGGGTCTAAAGATATTTGATCCACATATCTCTCAAATTACAATATAAATTTACACATCCCTAAAGCTTATAAAGTAGGATTTCAACAATCTCCCGCATGAATAGAAATTAATCTAAACATATGCAGACTTGGTTAAACTATGTAGACTCTACTAACGAGACTTAATAATAGACTAGATAGATGGATTATTCGAGAGCAAAAGCAAAAACTAACTGCATCTTAGGTAGCAGAACATTCCTACTTTGAACCACTTACTGTTAGTATCTACCGGGTCTACATTTCAAGAGGTGAACGTGATGTCATAAACCAGCCGAAGTATTTTATACCGAGACATCATATATAACACAAGTTTGTCTTCTAGTAGAGTTAAGTTCTCTATTGTATTTGTTTGGTCTTGAACTTGCATGGTTGTCACTTTATCCTCCTGAAAATAGCACACTCACTAGACGATTGCCATTTATACATGCCATATACACAAAAGTATCATGTTATACTTTATATACACATATATGAAGGTTTATTGTTTTATCTGATTAATAAGTCTCTGAATTACCTTAAATACTTACAGGAAGCGTTATTTTCATCTTGGGAGTTTAGTAATTTTCAATGCTTTAGTCAGATTTCGTTTGATTTAGTTGTCCATTTGAACCGACCTCTTGGGATCTCCCTTCGTGTTGGTGGAGTTTTCATCAAACATCTTCTTAGGAAATAAAATCATTCTCTTTGATGAATTCAATATTTGATCTCTTGATAAACCTTTAGTAAATAGATCCTCAAGGTTTTCAGCTGACTTGATGTAGTCGATAAATATAACACCGGTTGAGATCAAGTGTTTAATGGTCTTATTTCGTAGTATGATGTGACGTCATTTACCATTAAATAGGGTATTCAGTGCCTGAGCTATAGCCGATTGACTATACCAATGTATGTGTAGATCTGTGATTGATTTCTTCCACATTGGAATATCTTCCAAGAAATTATGAAGCCATTCTGCTTTTTTTTTTTGCTACTTTGTCTAAAGCGATGAACTCAGATTACATGGTAGATATGGCCAATAAAGTTTGTTTGGAGATTTTCAAGATATTGCTGCACTGCAAGCGTAAAGGCATATCCACTTGTGGATTTCGAGTTTCTTGAGTCTGATATTCAGTTTGCATCAATGCATATCTCCAATACTGCTGGTTTCTTACCGTAGTGTAGCCCATAATTTTTGGTGTATGGCAAATAATTTAATACCCTTGTTATGGCTTTCGAGTGTGTATGACTTGAATACTTATGTAGTGACTTTGTATGTTGACTGCATGCGCTAGATCGGGTCTTGAACAATTGGTTAAGTACATCAAACTTCCAATTACACGAGCCTACTTCACTTGTGAGACCACCTTACCAATATTCTTGGTCAAGTGCAAAATACTATCTACAGAAGTCTTTGCAGTTCTACTATAGTAGGTCTTAAACCTCTTGAGTATCTTTTCATCATATTAGTGATACTAAGATAAAGTTATCCATCAAGAGTCTTTGTCATTTTAATGCCAAGAATGACAACGAAAACACCGATGTCTTTCATGTTGAACTGATTATTGATCATGTTCTTTGTCATGTTCTTGGTTTGTTGGATGATATTAGTGCTGCTGATTATAAACATGTCATCTACGTACAAACATAATAAAATATACCCACCAGAAGTACTTTTGTAGTAAATGTGTTTATCACACTCATTGATGCTGAAATCATTTTGACATCATTGTATTGTCAAACTTTTCATGCCATTGTTTCGGTGCTTGCTACAGATATAAAACGACTTCACAAGCCTCCAAACTTTGTGTTCTTGACCCGGAACCAAAAAATCTTTAAATTGTTTCATGTATATCTTATCTTCTAAATATCTGTTTAGAGGACTATTTAACAGCCATTTGATGGATTCAAGTCTTTTAATGCTGCAATTACAATCAACAGTCTTGATGAACTCATTCTCGACACTGGAAAATAAGTTTTAAAGAAATCTAGACCTTCTTTTTATTTATGTCCATTCACCACAAAACCTGGCCTTGTGCTTATCAACTGAGCCATCAGTTTTTAACTTGGTTTCGAACATGCATCTAGACCCTAGTATTTTAAACCCTTGAGGTAAAGAAACGACTTCGTAGGTATGATTCTGAAATATTTAATCATGTTCACTATTGACTGCTTCTTTCCAGAAGTTTGCGTCGCGGTTAGATATGGTTTACATAAGATTTTGGCTCCTTCTCAGAAAGAAATACCATCATAAAATCTTCGCCAACATCTTTTTCTTACAATCTCTCTTGTTTCATGTAGGTTGTCTATAACATATTCCGCTTCAATTACAACAGCTTCAGAAGTACTGTCCTCATTAACGAAGGTAACCGCATCTCTTTTTCATGAGTGTGTTAAGAATATTGTTTATCCTTACACGGAAATATGTCTTTCAAAGAATGAAACATTATTTGATTTCATAATTGTATTAACATGGATGTCAGATACATATAATTTAATTATCAGATGCTTATAATTACTAATTGTTGTGTGCATAAACAATGAATAGAGCATCTACAATTTTTAGATCCAAGCGTGATCTTTTTAAGAGGTGGCACTATGTTTTTTACCAATTACCCTACCCCTACACTTTCAGGTATTTGTACGAAAGTAAGTTATTTGTCCAAAATTCATATGTCGTTTTACTAGTTACCTAATGAGGTATTTTGTTGAGGATATAATTTGTGGTGAGAAACGCTCCCCCTCCCCCCCCCCACAGATTTTGTTTTATACCAAATTCCTCTAACATTGTATTCGTCATTGTTTTTAGAGTTTTATTTTTTATTTTTTCAACTCCGTTTGAACCAGGTGAATATGGAACAGTCGTTTAATGGATAATGCTGTTTACTTGACAAAACATATTGAAAGAATAATCATGTTCTCCTCCTCAATCACTCTTGACTATTTTGATAGTCCAGCTATTTTTCAATTTTAAGTTTATACTCTTTGAATTTGTCCAAGACTTTGTCTTTACTTCGTAGCAAGTAAACATAATAATAATATCTTGTGAAATCATCTATGAAAGTCACAAAGAATTTTTTACCATCTCTAGTTTGTAAATACTTCAAATCTCACAAATATGTGTATAAAACTAAATGTATTCAACATGATGTGATGATGTTTTCGTGAATTTTGCTTGAACACAAACTTCACATTTGTTTTTGTTTATTTTGAACTTTGTGATTATGTTCATATTCATTAATCTTTGCCTAGATTTATAAATTACATATCCCAATTTGTCATACCAAACTTTAGAAGACTCAACAACATAAACAACTAATTTATTATTCACTGAAACATTAGAATCAAATACATTATTTTTCCAAATGACCAACAAACATTTTAACAAGTTCATATTTAACAAAACCCTTTCCTATAAAAACACCATTCTTCCTAAGATTCAGCTGATTGGATTCAAAATTGATTCCAAAACCGTGGTTAATCATTAGAGATCCAGAAAACTCCATGACTGAGCTTTTCTTAGAGATAAAGATGCTCTTGACATTGGGACTACTACACATTTCATTTGTTCCCTCTCAAACGAAATTATTCTTTTTAATAACAAAACCGTAAAGCTAAAATCTTGCATTTTCGAAGCCGTGCAAGTCGCTCTTCTTCATCATAGCGACCTTAGCCAACTTCTCAGCCGCTCTCCAGGCCGACGCAGGAGTCAACGGCTCACCATTTTCGTCAACTAAAACCATCGTCGTGTCTCTTTCTCTCCCTCTCCGCCGTTGAACATGTTGTTGTTGGTGCTGACTCTGATATTCAATCAGCTGCTGCCTCCTCCACTGAACTTCCACCAACTCCGCCTCCACTACCTTGGCATACTCCGCTGCCTCCCCCGTTCTTGATTGCCCAAGCAGTGCATGCGCTGACGTTAACAAGTGGTGTGCGCTTGTGCATTCCCCGTATTCTACCAGCCTTCGAGACTCTGCAACCGCCCGTGTCATTATGAAGAGGCTCCTCAACCGTTCGGTACTAGGAGAAAATGATCTTACGGCTTGGGGAACGCGGAGTGATTGGTCTCGTCCGTATACAACTTCTTGTGTAGAAGGGTCCTTATATAGACCCCTAGCTGATAGAACTTGGTGGGCCATGCTGGCCGTTGATGGGATCCTAAGCTCCACTAAAAGCTCTCTTTCTTCGCCTGCGTAAAGGTCCCCAAGCCGGACTGATCCAGAACCAGAACTCACCAAAGTGGGTTGTCCACTGCATAAATAAACCGCTGCAATTTCACATGGTCCAGATCCTGGTCCAACTCGAAATTGGATCCTAAGATCTTGAACCACCACGCTAAGCAAGCCTCCTATACATTTTGCAAAAGCATCTTCGACAGAGGGATGGCTGCTGCACCCACCACTCTCTCCAAAGCCATACTCAGTAACAGGAATCTCTATGTGAGCAAAGCGTGTTAACCCCACATGAGTTATTGTAGACCTTTGATTTGTGTTGGCTCTACTCGAAATTCCCTGACCGTCCTTTAGGAGTACAATACTAGCGATTGGGTTTCTCTCCCTGCGATCCTCCAGCACTCTTGCAGCTTTTTCCAAACCATCGCTTATCTTAGAACTTTGACAGCAAAGGAGCCCATCCACCACCACTCCAGCAGATCGTTTGCCATTCTCCGTCATTCTCTTAAGTGGGAGGAGTCTCTTCGGAGTAGTCGAGGAAGCAGTGACGATAGAGAGCCGATCAGCCGAGCTAAGAGAGGAAATCACAAGCCTCATGGCTCGTTTAACCATTTGGAGTTTTGCACCGTTCATGGTTCCACCTACATCAACTACAACCACCAGATCCACCGGCGCACGTTGCGAAGGATCTAAATGCCTACGCCCTCTTGCAGCTAGAGGCGGTGGGGCCTTCACTCGCAGAGCCACTGCACGGGTCTCGTAACCACACCCAACAGAGACAATGGCAGATTCAGGTAACAAGCTCACCTGCACATTTCCAAAATCTCGACCCTTGGTGGGAATCTCGTAAGACTTGACTGCAAAGGAAGGGCTCGGGTCCACCACGAATCCCTTGAACTGAGCCACGTCAGTCTCCTCATCAGCCTCAGGTATGGTGACAAACCGTGGCGAAAGCAAAGGCTCGTCATCATCGTAACTGTGAGACTGCTTTAGTCTGGGTTTTTCTGTAGGAGAAGATGCCACGGCAACAACACGCTTCTCCTCGATATTTTCCAAGGGAGGTTCAGTTCCTTTCCGATGAGGAGTTAGAAGAGAAGCGTCTTTCCAAAGGGAGTTGCAAACAGGGCAAACAAGCTTGCCGTGTTTACCGACGTAATCGGTGATACAAGGGAAATGAAACGCATGTGAACACTCTGCCGTATATTTCGCCGTCCCTTGCCCTGTTTTCACGCTGTTCAAACATATCCCACAATTACTCTGCAAAAAAAAAATAATAATAATAAATCATAAACTAAATAATTTTTTCTGATTGACTTCTCTTTCTTGTAACTTGTAACCCATTTTCTTACTCGGAATTTGAAGCTGTTGCGGAACAGAGAAAGCTTTAACGGCGACCGAGGCGAGGAAGGGTTGGACCTGGCTTTCAAAGAGAGTCTGGGGCTCTTTGTCGCCGATCTTGGCGTCGGGATTTGCTCCGTCTTTAGAGCAGGAGTCCTGGCATCCGTTGTCCTACAACTCAACCTTGGACTAGAACTTAGTCGGGGAGTTGACGGATTACTTCCCACGGAGCGAAAAGCTAGCTTCACGCAGCTTCTTGGGCTAGGCGTGTAGCCTGCGTGTTGCTTGTCGAGATCCGGGGCCGCCGCGTCACTGTTTCTTGGGGCAGTGGTGCAAAATGCTCGTCGCCAACCAGTACCCATGAATCTTCAAATCTTGTTTTTATGAACCAGGAAATAAAACTGGAAAGAAACTAGTAATATGATAAAGTTGAAAGATTTTGCTCTATATTTCGGTCTGTATTGTTGTTATTACCTTTCCATCACAGAATGCGTGAGATCTATGGAGTTTAGTATAAAATATACATCTTTTTTAAATAGTTTTCTTTCTCGTCTTGATCCTCTCTCTCCTCCTTTGGAAGGCGTATAGATATATAAGCCAAAAATATTCTTTGAAAAAATATATATAAGCGGTTGACAAAAAAAAAAAAAGAAAAAATATATATAAGCATAAAATATTTACACTGTAGCTGGATAGTTTCTTGAGATTTCATGTTGATGACGTGAATGTCGAAAAAGCTTTGTTTTCGAAGATTTTAAGGTGTTTTTTAAAAAAAATAATAATTCATTTTCTTTTACGTTATCTTTGATAAAAATACAGTCAACATAGAAAACTAGTGGGTTTCATGTTCAAACCCAAAACAAAGTTTACAGAAGCAATAAGAACCGAGCTTTCGGGTTAACCAAGCCAAACAGAATGTTTTTTTTTTGAACTGTAAAGGGGTAAATCCGGGTCTATTAAAGACACAGACCTAACCCCCGGGTGGAGGTACAACCCACGGATAGACCCTCTCCTGGGCATTCAAATGGGTCGAAAGCAATAACCCATATCCGTGTGGCCAGTGGGATTTGAATCCGGATTCGCCTTATTGGGTTTATTCCCTCAAGCGCCACTAGGCTACCACCACTGGTTAAGCCAAACAGAATGTTCTCATTCGGTTTGGTTGATTCCTTATAAATTTATCTAAACTATCAAAAGAAATTGCGATGTGGTTTGGTTTGGCATTAATTTAGGTATTTTAAATTCACTAGTATTAAGAAATTTTTGTTTTTTGCAAATGATTTGTTGAAACTGTTACAACAACTATATAAATCTTTAGCATTATTTCATTCTTTCAGTTTAGTTGATGTTATAAAATAAAATAAATATGAAGTGTGATTATGTTTCAATGTAAAATTATTTTTATTAATTTTATATAAAAGTTTGTTTTTTATTGATTTTGAAATGTGATTAAGTTTTTAAATAATGATTTTTTATGATAAAATATATACTCCCTCCGTTTCAGATTATTTGTCATTTTAGGTTTTTACACACAGATTAAGGAAACATTTAATTTACATATTTTCAATATAAAAATACAATTACCAATACACCTAACCACTTTTCAACCAATAGAAAAATAGAATATCATATTAACATAATAAATTTTGTCTCGAAACTCTAAAACGACACTTATTTTGAAACAAAATTTTCCTCTAGAATGACATCTAATTCGAAACAGAAGGAGTATTAGGTAATTGGTTCTACTGGCTCGAAAAACCATGTGCAAGATTGTCTGACATAATATTTTGTGCTATTAGAATATATCTGAGCTGAAAGTCATGAAAAAAGAATTATTCTGTCTAGATTCTTCTATGTGTCGAGAAAACTAGTCATTTTCTGGTGTCAACATCATCTTCACTAATTGAAAATAATCCGTCGTAAAAACTAAATAAAAAATTATAGAATTTTCACATTCATTATTGATGTAAAAGCTTCATATTTAACATTTAAAATGATAGATAAAATAAAACAACAATTAAAATAAAATGAAGAAGATCATAATAATTTTTTTTATTTTTTTGCAAAATATTTTTATTTAAAAATATACAAATTAAATATTTTTAGATATATACACATACTTAAAATGACAATTAAAATAATACTGTAAGAATATTACGGGTTTGAATGTTACGCAGAGGAAAAGCAGAACAAAAGCAGGAGAAGTGTAATGCAGTTCCATCTGCATTAATTGCCCATTCACTATTTTTTTGTAGAACAAAGAGAAATAATAAAATAATTACTGAACTGTATGCAGAACATTTTACTTGTAAAAAATATGTACTGCATATTCCTAGCTAAAAGAGGCTGGCCAAATACAGAGGTCCAATAGGATGTTTTCTTTTTTGGTTTTTCTTTATTTTTACTACACACAATTTCATTTTTATGCATAAACTAAGAATCTTTTCAAATATTAAGTTTTTAGTTTTCTTTTGTTTTCACATATAATAATTTTAAGAATTTTTTATAAGAATATGTGAAATGATATTATATATTAAATTATATATTATACACACTAATATATATATATATATATTTACTTAAACTGCAAAAAGTATTTATACACATTTTTGTATACTACAAAATATTTTACTACACTAAATAATTGTATAAGATTTATATAAATATTAAACATATATAGTTGACTTTATTTTAGTTGGTGATAATTTAACATAAAAAGTAGCTAACAGTGTGTACAAATTTTATAAATATTTTTATTCAAATCATTTAAATTTATTCATGTATTTTGTTACTTGCTTATAGTTATAAATTTAATAATTATTTTATCATCGTTTAATCTTTATAAACAATGAAATAACAAATATTATTTCTATTCCTTCATACATATAAATATTCTAACACATTCAACCAAAAGTTCAATTTTGATATACAATACTAATTATTTATTTTGATTTAGGTACAAATTTCACTTATTCTCGTAGGTTATATTATAATATACACATGTATTTTCATATTTTTTTCTATAGTTTCACACATACAATAATTTTATTTTCTGTTTCACTAATTTTTTATATTTTAAATTGATTTATATATATATACATCAGTTAAAAACAATTCAAAAATGAAGATATTCTTTTCATTAGTTTCTTCAATAAATGATAAAATATCAAACATATTTGTTTCTCACATATACATGTATGTATTTTTAAAATTTTAAATTTTTAAACAAAGATTTTGTTGATACAAAACATATATAAAATTGACAATACTAGTTCTTTAACTGAAGGAAATAGTAAGAAAGAACCAAAAATTGAACAAAAATACAAAAAATTAAAAGCAAACATGACTCTTTATAATTTTTATTTGTGATGAATTTTCATATAATTTAAAATTTCACTATCAAAATGTTGATACTTATTGTTATTTGTGGCAATATGATATTTATTACTTATTTATAATAAGTTGTATTTGCTTAGATATTTAATTTAATTAATTTTTATTATTTATTTATATATAATAATTTATTAAATTAATTTAAGATGCATTTGTTCAGCGTGAACTGCATGATCTGCATTTGTTTTGCTTGATCTGCGTTTCTGTTTGACCTGTATTTTCTGAACTGCGTTCTCCATTCGAAGCCTACAAATCGCAATCACCAAGTCGACGAACTTACTCACATCCGTTATGTTTTTAACAAGTTAAATCATTAACATCATGTCGTGGATCAAAAGCACATGATTTCAACAGCCCATATGAGAAGAGATCACAATTTCAGCAGCATCACAGGCTGAAGATTCTTTTCCCAAACGTAGCTAATAATTAAAAAGGTAACTGTCGTATTAACTATGATTAGACGAAAGATGCATGATTACCAACCACGACAACTCATTAATTATTTTATGTATAACTATGATTCAACCTCTCTGACCACATGACCAGCATGCATTATAGTATATGTATACATAAACAAAATAATTATATGAAATAATTATATAGAATAATGTTGAAATAAATAATATATTAAATAAATATTTATATTAATTATATTTTTTATATATAAATAAAAATATAATATTTGTATATTCTAAGTTTAAGTTCGACCGATGCTCGTCTTCCTCGAATATCTTTTTTTCTTTTTAGAATAAAAATTACTTATTAGTAGATTATTTTTCAGCCACCACTTTTTTTCTTTTAATTTTTAGTATAATTTTAGAGCTTTAGACTAGTCAAAATGAAAATGAGAACTTGTTCCAAAACAATACTCAGTGTCGTACAACTTCAATTTTAACACATTGTCCAAAAAGCTTCTCTTTTGAATGAATAACATTCGAACTTAAGTAAATGGTTGCGAGAAACCTCTATGGCGTACTGATACACTAAAATTGTATCTTGTTCTACTGCAAGCCAATAGTATAGATATAGTATTTGAGTTTCAATTCCAGATGATCAGTTTACATTTTCTCTTTCTGGGATCAATATCAAACTAAAACAATATGAGGATTTTAAAGGTTGAGGTATCATAAATAACAAATAACAAGTTGATTTTAAGATTTTTAGATGATTAAGAGAGCTAACCTAGGGTGAATAAGTAGAAATCAATGAGCATGAGTCAAATATCTATTCAAGAAACAATTCACAACAAGTCTTAAACTCGAACAACAACGCAAGAGCGATCCACTTTCATGGCATCTACCTTTTTTTTTATCATGCATTTCTAATATCTAAACTGCCGTTTGAATCAGAGAAAGATGATAAACATTAAGTCTAGATTAGATAAGTTCATAATTTGCCTAACACTACTTTCGCTGGTTAGGGACAAATCGCCCCTTCATGATATTTCTAGCGATCTAAAACATTTTTGATGATTAATTAAACCTATTTTCACGCATTAAAAAGATAATTTAATGCAGGCAGTAAGCATAATCATGAATAGAAACAATCAAAACATCAATCCTTATTTGTGTTTAGCTCATGAATTTATGACCTCTTAACACCCTAAACTAAGCAAATAGACTACTCAGCCATAGATACAGAGATCACAAACATCAATTTTGAATAATACTCCATGAAAATAAAAGAGATAAATAGAGGGTTCATGGTAATCTTCTCTAAGCGAGAGAGATGGAGCCTTCTCCCAAACAAGTAGCAAAATCGAACAATGAAAACTCTAGACTTTGGTTTCTTCTGTGAAAAAAATAGCTTAGAATAATAAAGAGAAACATAAAAAGATATATGGAAGCCACATGCAGTTGGGAGAGAAAATAGGGAAATTATGACAAATCCCGAAATAGGTTGTAGTTCCTTAAAAATCTCTGCCGCTAGAACATGCACTCAGGTTGCTCCGCTCGAACGAGAACAGTCACTTCAAACTGTTCAGGGTGAAAATCACCAAATTGCAATGTTTTCTGTATCTTTTGCTCTAACTGGGCCATCTCTCATCCAGTGAAACTCCCAACTTGTAATGACTCAAAAAGACTAGGAAGACTCGATAAATACTTAAAAACCAATTAGAAAACATATATACAAG